ATGCGCAAATAGATACAAAGGTAGACACAACGGCAGATTTTGCCGCTGCATCAGGCAAGCCCTGCACAATATTCTTTTAGCTCTCTTGATGGCAAATCGCTCACCACTATTATTATTATTGTTGTTGTTGTTGTTGTTATTTATTAATTTATTATTTTTATTATTATTGTGCTGTCGCAGCTAGAGCTTAGCTGAGCTGTTCAGCCACGTAATTCGTGGCAAGTAATATTCTTCTGTTCATGCGCACCACGGAATCGCATGCGTTTTTTACTCCCATTTATTCAACTGTGTTCTATTTTAATTCTCTGCAGGGCGAACGATGATGTTTGTCGCGTGTGGTGCAGACGAGGAGGCAGCGCATCGTGTGTGGACGATATGATGCTGTGGTGCGGTTCAGAGTCTGCGGCGGTGAAGGAACACGTCCGCGGCCATCGGTGAGTGTGATTGTCGGGTTATTTTGTAAGACGTAAGCAAGTACATATGTGAGAGATGTATATGTTTTGTTGTGGTGCCTTCGCGCATCACATATGTGGCTCTCTGGCATCAGAGGCTGGCTTCTCAGGGACATGTCTGCACGCACAAATCCGGTGGCCAGGCATCCTATCTGAAGGTAATGGCATATAGAAAGGTTTAGGAAGCTTACGGGCATTGGGGCATAGGTGTGTGGTGGTCTTTTTGGGTGAGAGGCTGTACCGGGGTGGGTGGGTGGGTGGGTGGGGGCACCAACAAGGAGAGCACACACACACGCGCACGCGTGCACATCTCGGGCTTGCACCACATTATAGATGGCTCGCGAAGCGTAAATTCCATGTATGAACAATTACAGCATTAATAGCAACATGCGCAAATAGATACAAAGGTAGACACAACGGCAGATTTTGCCGCTGCATCAGGCAAGCCCTGCACAATATTCTTTTAGCTCTCTTGATGGCAAATCGCTCACCACTATTATTATTATTATTGTTGTTGTTGTTGTTGTTGTTGTTATTAATTATTAATTTATTATTTTTATTATTATTGTGCTGTCGCAGCTAGAGCTTAGCTGAGCTGTTCAGCCACGTAATTCGTGGCAAGTAATATTCTTCTGTTCGTGCGCACCACGGAATCGCATGCGTTTTTCACTCCCATTTATTCAACTGTGTTCTATTTTAATTCTCTGCAGGGCGAACGATGATGTTTGTCGCGTGTGGTGCAGACGAGGAGGCAGCGCATCGTGTGTGGACGATATGATGCTGTGGTGCGGTTCAGAGTCTGCGGCGGTGTAGGAACACGTCCGCGGCCATCGGTGAGTGTGATTGTCGGGTTATTTTGTAAGACGTAAGCAAGTACATATGTGAGAGATGTATATGTTTTGTTGTGGTGCCTTCGCGCATCACATATGTGGCTCTCTGGCATCAGAGGCTGGCTTCTCAGGGACATGTCTGCACGCACAAATCCGGTGGACAGGCATCCTATCTGAAGGTAATGTCATATAGAAAGGTTTAGGAAGCTTCCGGGCATTGGGGCATAGGTGTGTGGTGGTCTTTTTGGGTGAGAGGCTGTACCGGGGTGGGTGGGTGGGTGGGGGCACCAACAAGGAGAGCACACACACACACACGCACGCGTGCGCATCTCGGGCTTGCACCACATTATAGATGGCTCGCGAAGCGTAAATTCCATGTATGAACAATTACAGCATTAATAGCAACATGCGCAAATAGATACAAAGGTAGACACAACGGTTGATTTTGCCGCTGCATCAGGCAAGCCCTGCACAATATTCGTTTAGCTCTCTTGAAGGCAAATCGCTCACCATCTTATTATTATTCTTGTTGTTGTTGTTGTTGTTATTAGTTTTTAATTTATTATTTTTATTATTATTGTGCTGTCGCAGCTAGAGCTTAGCTAAGCTGTTCAGCCACGTAATTCGTGACAAGTAATTTTTTCTGTTCGTGCGCACCACGGAATCGCATGCGTTTTTCACTCCCATTTATTCAACTGTGTTCTATTTTAATTCTCTGCAGGGCGAACGATGATGATTGTCGAGTGTGGTGCAGACGAAGAGGCAGCGCATCGTGTGTGGACGATATGATGCTGTGGTGCGGTTCAGAGTCTGCGGCGGCATAGGAACACGTCCGCGGCCATCGGTGAGTGTGATTGTCGGGTTATTTTGTAAGACGTAAGCAAGTACATATGTGAGAGATGTATATGTTTTGTTGTGGTGCCTTCGCGCATCATATATGTGGCTCTCTGGCATCAGAGACTGGCTTTTCAGGGACATGTGTGCACGCTCAAATCCGGTGGACAGGCATCCTATCTCAAGGTAATGTCATATAGAAAGGTTTAGGAAGCTTCCGGGCATTGGGGCATAGGTGTGTGGTGGTCTTTTTGGGTGAGAGGCTGTACCGGGGTGGGTGGGTGGGTGGGGGCACCAACAAGGAGAGCACACACACACGCGCACGCGTGCACATCTCGGGCTTGCACCACATTATAGATGGCTCGCGAAGCGTAAATTCCATGTATGGACAATTACAGCATTAATAGCAACATGCGCAAATAGATACAAAGGTGGACACAACGGCAGATTTTGCCGCTGCATCAGGCAAGCCCTGCACAATATTCTTTTAGCTCTCTTGATGGCAAATCGCTCACCACTATTATTATTATTGTTGTTGTTGTTGTTATTTATTAATTTATTATTTTTATTATTATTGTGCTGTCGCAGCTAGAGCTTAGCTGAGCTGTTCAGCCACGTAATTCGTGGCAAGTAATATTCTTCTGTTCGTGCGCACCACGGAATCGCATTCGTTTTTCACTCATTTATTCAACTGTGTTCTATTTTAATTCTCTGCAGGGCGAACGATGATGTTTGTCGCGTGTGGTGCAGACGAGGAGGCAGCGCATCGTGTGTGGACGATATGATGCTGTGGTGCGGTTCAGAGTCTGCGGCGGCGTAGGAACACGTCCGCGGCCATCGGTGAGTGTGATTGCCGGGTTATTTTGTAAGACGTAAGCAAGTACATATGTGAGAGATGTATATGTTTTGTTGTGGTGCCTTCGCGCATCACATATGTGGCTCTCTGGCATCAGAGACTGGCTTCTCAGGGACATGTCTTACGCACAAATCCGGTGGACAGGCATCCTATCTTAAGGTAATGGCATATAGAAAGGTTTAGGAAGCTTCCGGGAATTGGGGCATAGGTGTGTGGTGGTCTTTTTGGGTGAGAGGCTGTACCGGGGAAATATAAAGAGGCTGGGTGTGGGTGTGGGGGCAGCCCTCCCTCCCTATCTATCAATCTATCTATCTATCTGCTGCGTGCACATGTTTAATAAAACAGGATTCTTTTTGCTCATCACACGGGCTGCCCACGCTTTTTATAAAATAGATCTTCTGTAAAATATGCCAGGCCCTAATTGTTTATTTGGCGCCCCCCCCCGCCAGCAGGTGAAAAGAACAAGGCCGTCATTTCTGCCATGGGTTTCAATCATGCCAGCACTTGCGGATTAGTACATAGAGATTGGGGTTTGTGGAATGTTTGTGGGGGTTGTGTGAGGTTCTTTTACGTTGAGGTTTGTGGTATCATACAATGACACGGAGAGGAAGGGTGGATGTTATATACAAGGTTTTTGAGGCGTTTTGGGTTTTGGGCTTTTGGGGTACTCGAGGTACGAGGTGTTCTTTTGGGTTTGGGGTATATTATGTGGTACAAGGTACGAGGTGTTTAGGTTTTTTTGGGGTATAGATAGGAGGGACAAGTGACGAAATGATTTGAAATTGTGTGGTTGAGGTGTTGGGGTTAGAAGTGTTTTGGGGCATGATGAGATACGAGGTGTTTGGGACTTTATTGGGTTTTTTAAGATGTGTCTTCTTGAGGGGGGGTACAAGTGTTTGTTTTTGGGGTACACGTTACTATACATGTGTGTTGGGGGGGGGGGAGGAGGACACATGCTGTATGCATGTGTACTTTGTGTATGTGTGGACGCAGCAGGGGGAAAGGGTTGAGGGTGTGATGTGACTGTGAATGGAGGGGAAGAGGGATTTTTGGTGGATGGCTGGAGATACACACACACATGCATACGCAGACGTACATGCACATCCCGCACGGGTGGCAGCTATAGCTATGGTGTATCTGCAGAATCAGGAGCAGCAGCGGCAGCAGCAGCAGCATGAGTGTGTAGTCCTGTAGTTCAGCTCCCCTGCACACAAGAATAATAGTGGAACGCAAGCAAAATGATTCATGCTAAAAAAATATCCGCCTCCATGATGATACATATACATATGGCTGCAGCAGGAGAGTAACTAAAAATTAATAAAGATTGCTACCCACACAAGGATAACAGTACTACATATACCTCTTTTATCTGTCATCATCACAGAGAAGGATATATGTAATGATAATTGCTATCAAGCGGAGAGCATGTACAGCAGCAGAGATGTGCACGCTTATACCTTACATACATACATTCATGGCACACTGCTCAAGGGTACCGGGAGGAAAGTCTCCATCTTTGACTTTTTTTACCTTGACGGTGACAGAGAGGATGAGAGCGAGACAGAGAGAGGTTGAATTGTTAGCATGTTTCCGCGCATGATCTGTTGTGTTGTTGTACAGACAGATATACATGATATAGCAGTACACGCAGCACCATGCTGCGTGTATGTGTGGATGGGACGACGAGACAAAAGATGCACAGCGTGCATCGTATGGGTATTTCATAAGATGATGCACCCATCTTTGTTGTGTATACACTCCTTCGACACTCGGACACAGTAACACACAAAAAACGCTAATGCTGCTACTTACAATGATGCTGCACATAATATCAACGTTTGCTTTTAAAAAAATCAATAACACTGCGCGGAAGTTTGCCACCCCGATCCACCACCACTTTGCTGTGCCTCTATGCTCTGTACCCTGTGCCTGAGCTGCAACGGGATGCTGATCTCTAATGATCGATGTAATTCTAGATAGCTTTTTAGCAGTATTACAGAGTCATCAGTCAGCCAAAAATTCCGATGTAGGCGATGTGTGTTGTATAAGTAGGAATAGTAGCAGTGATCATATATGTGATCATAATAAGAAACGGTAAATATAACAGAATAATGATCGCGCTCTGGTGGTCGTCGTCGCTGGAGAGTAGTTCATTAGTAAAAGTAATTAGTACAGGAGCGGGGGCGTTGAAAACCCTATATAGGGGGTCGGAGGGCAGGGCAGGGGTGTTGGGCTTGGGGGCCGCAGGGGAGGGCGGCGTCGGGCTTATTAGGGGGGGTGCAGGGGAGGGCGGCGTTAGGTTATATAGGGGAGCGCAGGGGAGGGCGGCGTTAGGCTATATAGGGGGATGCAGGGGAGGGCGGGGCGTTACAAGGGCGGCGGTGCAAGTATCCCGCACCCATACAAGTATCCCATGCAAACCCCCAACCGCCCAATCGACATATCCAAGCTAGACATCCTCAAACCAAAGCAAGCACTCAGGCATTGCCATACTTTCTTCAGTTACAGAGCAGTATTCTACATCCTACCGGCACAAAAATCCTGCAACCACAGCAGCACAACTGCTGTACATGACTTTTTATGCTTGGAACAGGGCCAGCCACAGATGTACGTGAATTTAGTCATTAATGCGAATACTAATAGAAATATTGTCATCATATGTGCGGGAAAGAAATGTAGCAGGAACCAAGAAGTGTAGCAGCAACTGTCAAAAGTTGTTTGCTCCGTGCATGTCCCACCCCCCCTCAGTAGTATTTCTTATGTGCGGGTTCCCCACATCACACCCGTTACATGTTACCACACACACCACCCTGTACGCACCCTAAACCCCAACCCATGGGTTGACCACCCCCAACCGCCCCCAATCGGCATGTCTCTTAACTTGTACTTACTGGAAAACCCAAACCCTAAAAGCTTACTCAAACACTCAAACACCAAAGCAAGCACTATATATGGCGCTATGCCTTTTTTTATTTATATTCATGTCTGATGCTGTATTATTATATCTCTGCTACCTTGCCTCCCTCCGCATCTGCTCCTCCAAACCCCTCCTCACCCTACAACCCACTGTGTATATAAGACTATAAATCTCGTCTTTCTGACCTCTCACATCACCACTCATCATCATGTAGCTTTTTCCCCCATCCTACTTCGGAAGCTTCCGTGTGTGCAGCGTCCTCTGCTTTTGCTTCTGCTTTTGCTGCCGCTGCTGCTTCTTCCACTGCCGTTGCAGCCACTGCTGCTTTTGCGGGCGCTCCTCCTGCGGGATCTGCTGTTGCTGTTGCCCCAGCTGTAACTGCAGCTGCTGCTGCTGCTGCTGCTGCTGCTGCTGTTGACGCAGCTGCAGCTGCAGCCGCCACAGCTGCTGCCGCAGGCTCATCTCTTCCTCCACGTTGCTGCTGCAGGGGTCATCGTCATCACTGCTGCTGAGCAGGGAGAGGCGATGCTCTTGGTCCATGCCATGCTCCTCCTCCTGCTTCTTCTTCATCTTCTTCTTCTCCTTCTTCTTCTTGGACAGTGCTGTCTGAAACCCCACCGGCCCAAGGTGTGGCCGCTTGCCTGCTGGAGGCTCGCCACAGCTGAGAAGACTGGGGCTGCGCTTGCCAAGCTGCAACTTCTGCGACTGCGGCAGTCGCGGAATCAGACCTGATGGTGGGCAAATCAGTTGCCTGCTGCTGCCACGGCCACTGCCGCTGCTGCCTTTGTTGACTTCAGCAGGGTGCCTGTACTGCTGCAGCTGCTGCAGCTGCAGCACTGGCTCCTCCTCCTCTTCCTCTTCCTCTTCCTCCTCCTCCTCCTCCTCCTCCTCCTCTTCCTCCTCCTCCTCCTCCTCCTCTTCCTCCACTTCCTCCTCCTCCTGCTCAGTGTCCTCCACCTTGTTACCCGTCAGGTCACCCTCACTGCTGCTGCCATCATCATTATTATGGCCCCCATCATAGCCACAATATTTGCCGCCATCGTGATCATCATCACCACTGTCCTCCTCCATCCCACCCCCAAGCGCCTCCTTGGATGCCAGCAGCTGGTACTCAGTGGCACGTTCCCGCCACATGTCGTACTCATGATGAAGCATGTCGTCATCCTCACCCACCGCCTCTTCCTCCTCATCCACCCCAGCTTCACCGACTTCATCATCATACGGAACCCCAGCTGCTTCGACAACCTGCTGCTGGTCGTCGTCGTGGTCCGGCTGATGCTGATGCTGATGGGGATGGCGCTGCATCCGTCCACTTGCCTTCCGTCCAGTAGCCACATCCGGACCGCAGCTGTGTTGTTGCCGCCGCCGCTCTGCAGCCCGAAAGCGTGCCAGGCGCCCAACAGACGTCTGCGCCACCATGCTGTCCAGACCCCTGATGTAGTGGCGGTGCCAGGTGTAGAGAGAGTTGCCCATCACACGTGCATCCCCTTCAAAGGCGTCGGCCTCTTGTGCATCCACCTTGCGGACCAGGTCGTTGTAGCCCCCAGTGGCGTGGGCATGCCGAAAGTTTCGTGGAGGGAATATGTGCCAGGGTGCACCATACTTGCACTGAATGCGCTTCCATTCGTTGGTAAAAGGTGAATCACTGTGGGCCACTGGCCTGCCCATTCTGTCAAGAAACAAAAAGGGTGGCTCCTCAAAACCAGCACTGTCTATGCCTGCGTTCATGCGTAAGAGCACTGGCCGGGCATATCGTACATAGGTCCTGATGTGGTGTGACAGCTTCCTTGGAAGCAGGAATCGCAGGGACTCCCTGGAGGACTGCTCCGTCTTGTGATGGATGATCTCCAACACAAGACGACCACTGCTGCTGCTGCTGCCACCACTGGCGCCATGGCTACCCTCCCCTGCTGCCCCTGCCACTGCAGGTGGCATCTCCATGATGTTGTTGCCACGACACTCGATCCGGCTGCAATCAGCATGCATGCAGGTCTGCTTGCCAGGCACCATCAAGGTGCTCACCACGGACGGGCGGAGGGGTGGGACATAGACGCCGGATATCATGTCTGCCAGCAGCGTGTGCATGAGCAGGCAGGCAGTGTCGTAAGCAATGGGCCCATCTGGCCCAGCAACAGCAAGGTCCTTGTTCAGCGCCACCTCTGCCTTACCCCACAGCGCAAGCACAAATGATAGCACCTCACTCTTGTCTGGCAGTTGAGCATCACCAGCCAAGGAAAAGGATGGTGGTGGAGTGGCTGCTGGCTTCATGGTGGCTGCCTTGTTGATGGCAGCTGGGTGGTGTTTCACAGCACCAGCAGCACCAGCAGCACCAGCAGCACCAGCAGCACCAGCAGCACCAGCAGCACCAGCAGCAGTGGTGCGCAGTGCACATTGCTGACGCCTTTGTAGGCTCTTGGTCACCAGCTCCGAATCCTCCTTGTCCATCTCCTCGTCCTCGTCCTCAGATTCTTCCTCCGCGTTTGCCACCAGGGTAGGTAGTGGTGCCGGCTTGGGAACTGTCGGATAATTCTTGATTAGCTGAGACTTGACCCGCCTCAACCACTCGTCCAGCTTGACGAGGTGGGCGACCTGTGATGATGAAGGAATTATTATAGGTAGGGATTATATTTTATATGTGTCCAGGTGAACAGCAAAAAGGGATATAGATTTGTTAAACACTATATACAACAGCCATGCACCACAGTGCATGTGTCTCTGTGTCTCTCACCTCGATCATTTTCTTAAGCATATCACATGTTGCTTGCTTATTCAGACTCACTTTTGCGTCTGGATCTGGCTGGGACTTGGCATCGACAAGCTCGAGGTACTCCACGATCTTGGAGAGGTTCGTCATTTCAACGGCAGCTTTATCACGGCCGACCCGTTCGGCCATGAAGCCGATGTAGTTGATGAGAATAAACTGCAATAATCAGGTATGTGCATGGATGCATATATTGGGGCGGGTGTGTGGGCCGGGGGGAAAAAATGGACGACAGCGTTTTGTAAATTTTGTGTGTGCAAAGCATATATAGGACCATATATATGGCCCACGTGGAGCGAACCCTAAGTATCTTTAGCCTCCGTGGAGCTGCAGAGTCCGCGGTGGCGTCAGAGCACGTCCGTGGCCATCGGTGAGTGTGATTGTCGGGGTTATATTGTAAGACGTAAGCAAGTACCTATGTGAGAGATGTGTATGTTTTGTGGTGGTGCCTTTGCGCATCACATATGTGGCTCTCTGGCATCAGAGGCTGGCTTCTCGGGGATATGTCTGCACACTCAAAACCGGTGGACAGGCATCCTATCTAAAGGTAATGTCATATAGAAAGGTTTAGGAAGCGTCCGGGAATTGGGGCATAGGTGTGTGGTGGTCTTTTTGGGTGAGACGCTATACCGGGGTGGGTGGGTGGGTGGGTGGGTGGGGCACACACACGGAGAGCACACACACACACACGTGCACGCGTGCGCTTCTCGGGTTTGCACCACATTATACTTGGCTCACGAAGCGTATATTCCATCTACGAACAATTACAGCATTCATAGCAACATGTGCAAATAGATGCAAAGGTAGATACAAAGGCAGATTTTGCTGCCGCACAATATTCTTTCTAGCTTTCGTTAAGACAATCCGCTCACCACTATTAATTTATTATTGTTGTTATTATTATATTATTTTTATTTTATTTTTATTGTGCTGTCGCAGCTAGAGCTTAGCTAAGCGGTTCAGCCACGTAATTCGTGGCAAGTAATATTCTTCTGTTCGTGCACGCCACCCAATCGCTTGCGTTTCTCACTCCCATTTTTTCACTCCCACAAGCTATAACGACATGCAAAACTCAGGTGCACGGCTTTTAATTGTTGTGATGTTTCGAATTGCTCTGGGATAGGATTAGGTGAAACAGCTTGCATGCAAACACACATAGCACATACATGCACAAATGCACACATACTATAGACATACCTGGTTCGTGAAAAGGCGCAGGGACAGTGATTCCAAGTTAACATTCAACCAGCGGTATGCAAAGCCCAGGAACTTCGAGACGGTGTTTTGTAGGGTACGATAGGTGGAGCTTTTAACCCCACCAGTTCGCATCCGCTGGAAGTTGAACGGCTTCGTCCAGAATTCCTCAAAGTGGTGGATCTCCGTGCTTATTGGCATGGAGGAGGGCTGCACCGTTTGTAACGTAGTATCACCACCGGTTTTATGTTTTTTGAACACCGATAAGATGCCATACTTCGACACCTTCTTACTGTTCCACGTTCGCTTGGGGAGGTCAGTGGGAAACACCTCCCCAACGGGATAGAAATGTGACTTCAGTGGAGCAGGGTGGGGTGGAGCAGGACCTCCGCGTGCACCTGCTGCATGATGGGTTGCTGCAGGTTGCGTGCTGATGGGAGGTGCTGTGTGTGATGGAGCGGGGTGAGGGGTAAGGGGAGAGGCAATACCATGGGACGACTTCCTGCTGGGAGCACCACCAGCAGCAGGTGGTGCAGGGTGTAACGGTGTACGGTAGCCTGGTACAGCAGTGCTGGTATGTGCTGCTGCTCCTGCTCCCCCAACAGTGGTGGCGGTGGTGGTGGCAGCGGTGGCAGTGGCAGAAATGTTTTCGACAGCTGTGGCAGCAGCAGCACCAGCACCAGCAGGCTGGTCTGGGCCTGCTTCAGCACGGCAGCAGGGCAGCGGTTGATGATGAGCAGGGGTGGCGGTGGTGGTGGCTGGTTGTGATGCTGGTGCTGCTGCTGCAGTTGCTGCTGTGGCTGCTGCCGCTGCCCGTGCTGCCCGTGCTGCCGGTGCTGCCCGTGCTGCCCGTGCTGCCCCTGCTGCCCCTGCTGGTAATGATGCTGGTAATGATGCTGGTGCCACGGCTGGTGGTGCCAATACTCCTACTGCAGCTGCTGCTGCTGCTGCTGCTGCTGCTGCTGCTGCTTCTCCAGAGTTTCTGGGAGCAGCAGCAGGAAGTCCATCCATGCTGCCAGTCCGAACTGAAATCTCGGCCAGGGCTGAGGCCGCAGGCGGGCGGGAAAAGGATGGGAAGACAGGGGTGACGATGGTGGGGCATCTGGGCGAGGTGGATGGGCTGCTGGAGTGGAGACGGGAGAGGGTTGGAGGGAGAGGGGTGTAGGCTGGTGATGAGGATGGGATGCTGCTGCTTGGGTTGGCGTTTGTGGCAGAGGTGGGGTTGGGCAGGATGATGCCCTCCTGCAGGTTCATCCTGCTTGCAGTACAAGTGATGGCGTTGCCTGCATCCTGTACTGCCTCTTGTACCTCCTCCGTTGCCATCATCATGGCCCCGCACCGCAGCTGTGGGGGGAGCTGATGCTCAAATCCTCTGGCTTTGGCCACCTGAATGGGTGTCACAGCTGGGTTGGTGGCGCTCAACGGTGGCCTCTTCTGCTTGAGGTCCTTGATAACAGACGCCAATGTAACCAGCTCCGCATGCCGGTGCAGGGCTTTAGCCATGGCTGCACAGCTGGCCATCTTCACAGACGGTGTTTGCCTGGGGATAGCATTGATGGCCTTTAGACGGCCGAGGAGCATGCTGTCCTTCGTCACAACTTGTTTAAGGTGACGTTGGTCCTTAAGCCAGCCATGCACCAGCCGCTTGAGGAGCGGTGTGCCATGCCTCTGCACCTCCTCCGCCACCTGGTTGACCACCATGAAGTTCTGGCCGCCACCAGTCCTCCGGACATCAGCCTCGTTGGACACTAGTACAAGCCTCACGCTGCCCATGCCCTGTACAAACTCAGTGGTGTCCCACACTGCCCATCGCTGCATGGAATGACATGCGCACAAACAAGGGGCAGATAGGAAAGTTTTCGTGCTTTTTATCACATACCTCAACTGTGCTTTTTTGGGGGATGGGTATGGAGGCGGGCTGCGTATGTAACAATACGAAAGTGGGATCCGAATCGTGTTTTGATGGTTTTTGGTGGGCTGTAATTGTTTTTGAGGGGCAGGCAGGGGTTGTATAATGTATGCACGTGTGGATGTGAACACTTTTAATAGGTGTGTACTCAGTCAACAACAAGAATTTATGCGACGGTGGTGTGATGACGGGGGGGTACCGGTGGGGGGGTTACATGTGCGGCTTGCATGTATGCATGCATGTATTTATGTATGATGAGTGGGACAGGGGGTTCATATATCTTCACCCTGCGGCCGCTACATTCCGACAGACCCTCTGCCTTCCCCGCGGGTATTTCGGTTCACCCTCATCTTGTAGTCACACCCTAGTCAACGTTTCTAAGTGGATCACTCATGAGTCACCTGATCAGGTTCCTCCCACCCACCACCCCGACACTGTGGGCCGCGAGAGCCGGGGGCCAAAGCCGAAACACAGTGCAAGGGTCGGGAGCACACATCACAAGTCGGTTTTAGTGTCTTGTGTGCTCCCGACCCCGACTCAGACTGCCAACACTCTACACAGCCACTGCACAGCCCCTCCATCCGGGGATGGTGCTGCAGTGAAAACACCACGAAGGGCTCTCAGGTCCCGCTGGAGAGAGTCCACAAGTCTCAGCTAGGGCAAAGCCAAAGGCTCTCTGAAACAAACCCTCAAAACACCACCAACGAAAACGGGATTTCAAGAGAAAAAAACAGAAAATAATACGGTTAGGGCAGTCCCGGTGGGGAGGGCTCCTGATACACCTAACAAGCCAACCAAAAAACCTCCAAGAGAGAAAGGCTAAGAGGGCTCGACACCACACAAGACGTCTTGCAGCCACCTTACAACAACTGAACCCCTCTACCTCTCCCTTCCTGGGCTTGTCCAGCGGAGATGTAGCCATATAGAGAAAAGGGACCACACACAAGCCCAATCACCACTGCAGGAGCCTGGGATAGATTGTAACACAGCAAAGGCGTAACCCGGGATGCTCAGATTGGCATTTGCGTCGTTACATTGCCCCCCACTTAGCAATGGACGTCCTCGGCCATTATTTCGAGCACAGGAGCCATCCCACCTCGCGCCAGTGCGCTGGTTTATCCATTACACCATGAAATCGCCAATTTGCGACTTGCTGGTTGCCAGAATCGAACCGCCGACCCGAAGTTTATTTCGGTATTCGTGCGGTCCCGTCTCGATACCATTGTAACACAGCAAAGGCGTAACCCGGGATGCTCAGATTGGCATTTGCGTCGTTACATAGACCAGCAAAACCACAAAAGTGATAGCATTGCCTCGACACACAGCTCCTATAGACCCTCCAGAATACCGCAGGGGGAGGATATACGTGTGTATGTGTACACGCGGTGATACAGGTGTG